TGTTTGTGGATGATAATTCCCTCCAACAATCATCATACAATATATTAGATATAGAATACAAATTGAATCATGATTTACACATATTGGAAATTTGGTCAAATATGTGGGTACTCAAATTCAATCCATCTAAAACTAAGGTAGTTTATTTCAACAAGAAAAATATTTCTGCTATGCCAAAGGTATTTTTTAAAGGCGATAGACTTGAGTGTGTTCCAGTCCATCGCCATTTGGGTTTGCTATTGTCGCAAAATCTTAGTTGGTCTGAATATATTGATGGAGTTGTAAACAGTGCCAATAAAAAACTAGGCCTTCTAAAGAACTTAAAGTTCAAAATGGGTAGAAAAAACTTAACAAAATTGTATATTACATTCATCAGACCTATGCTTGAATATGCTTCGATCGTTTGGGATGGCTACTCGAAATATGATGCAGAAAAACTTGAGAAAGTACAATTACCTGTAACCGCCACTAGAATTGTAACCGGACTTCCTATATTTGTGTTTACAGATGCACTTTATTCTGAAACTGGGTGGAAAACTTTAAAAAACAGACGATATATTGCTAAAATATTTACTTTGTACAAAATTCACACTGTACGAGCACCGGAATATTTGAAAGATATTGTCCCCAATAAGCGTGAACATGTATCAACATATAATACCCGTAACAAACAAGATTATATTGTTCCTAGGTGTGGGTTAGAACTATTTAGAAACTCATTCGTACCTGACGCTACAAAACAATAGAATTTATTAAAAACAGATACGAGAGAAGCCGTTTCAGTCAAAACATTTCGAAAAAAAATTGACAACAAAAATTGATATTCCACCACCATACTTTTCTTTTGGCAAACGATACACAAATATAATTCATACCAAGTTAAGACATTACTGTATACTTAACCATGATCTATATAAACGAAATATTGTAAGTAGTCCATTATGTTTATGTGGTAAAAATGATGCTGTGTATCATTTCTTTTTTGCATGCACAAATTATTCTAATGCTAGAAGTACTCTTTTTAATCATTTGTTCATGCTTGATTTGGTTTCTATTGATATTGATATATTATTAAGTGGTGATATTAATTTGCCTTTGCAGATAAATAACAGAATTTTTGCTGCTGTTCATAAATTTATTGACGAAACATGTAGATTCTCTAAATGATGTATTACATTGTATCTATTTATTCATGTATCAATTGTATTATTTTTTTTCTTTTTGCATGACATATTGTATTATATAAGGAGAGGAATTCACTAAGTTATTTAGAACTTGTTTCCAATCCTTTTGATTGATATCAATAAACTATTTTCAAAACAAAATAATGAAAAAATGGATGGAGAGTAGATTATCAATTGGTACATATTTAGAATGAATTCATAGAAAGAGAGAGAGAGAGAAAGAGAGATTAAAACAAATGAATAGAAAAAATAATTATAATAATATAAAATATATAAAAAAAAAAACCATTTATATTTGAACAATTGATGCCGATCCAGAGTAGGAAAAATTCTCTAACAAAGTAGCTTACCAAAAATAAAATCCCATTTCCCATATATAATATCATAAGAAACTAAAATTTTTATTAAAACATCTAAGAGTTTCTTATGATGTTATGTACATGACTAAAAAATAAAAAAAATATATATTATCCAGACTTAGTGAACCAACACCATATAATATATTTGTATTAATTGGTATGTTATTTTCATTCATGTATTTAATCAGCATATGTCGTTTTGAGGCATATTGTTGACAACACAAGTAAAAATGCAACAAGTTCTCATTTTGATAACCACAATTTGTACATATTGGTGTTTCTTTTAGGGGAACTTTTAGCCGCGACTGTTTCTAACCTAGTTTAACGGAGAAAACAAGATATAAGCATTTATCAACTAATAATCATGAAAACTTATCCGTGTGTTGTTCTTTTATTTTTGTACTTTTTTTTATTTCAGCACCTGTTAAGTTTTATACAATGTTATATATTTTTTCTTGATTAAGCATTCATTCATTACTTAATAATACATGATAGGTTTTATTCATATTCACGGTTCATTGTCCTGACCCGTTTTCTTCCGGGAGGATGTCCAGTTCCTAAATGACCGTAATACTTTCAACCAGAGCAGGACATATGAACATGTATCATTAAAACTTAGATTAAATCCTCCCAAAGTTTATCACAACGAGACACCAGGATGGGTAATAATCACACAAAGGTAAACAACAAGTCAGTTTTTAGTATAAGCAATGGTTATCGGTGATAAAACAACAAACTATACACTTTTTTAATAAGATTTCCTTGAACATACACTAGCGCAAATTATATTGTAGCTTTTATATTAGTTTATATAAATAAATTTTTCGTATATTCAATGCAAGTACTAGTATATAAATGTTTCTAGATCTAATATAGACTGTATTACTTTAAACCAACGTGCGAGAAATATACGCGATTTTCGCGAGGTACTTTTACTCGTGAGTATTTATCGACAAGTTATTTTGCTTTGTAATTATAGAGAATATTTCCTCTTTCACGGAAATTAATCGTCGACGATTGGTTTTAAACTGACGAATCGCGAATAAAAGATGACGCGAATAATAGTTGGTTTACAGTATTATATACGAACTGTAAATTACAATTTTGCCTTTCAAGACAATCACTAGAATTAAAACAGATTTCTGAAACGTTAAATATTGGCACTATTTTCAGAAAAAAAAACACACATACATTTATCTTTTGCTAAAAATGATAATTGGTAATATTTCATAAAAATTATTATGAGTCTTTAAAAATGTAAAAAGCATACTGATCGAAAAACAAACAAGTTGTCTGATGACTTATTCCTTCGGGTCATTTTGCTTCGTATCAAGTACAAAGAGAATACAAAGTATTTACATCGACTGCATTTCATTTCCGGAATTTTTTGTAATTATCAACTTTTCATTTCCGACATTTTTTTGTTTTCATTTCCGACATTTTTCAAATATATATGTAGTACTTTTAGTAACAAATATGAAGACTTTACTTTTGAAAAATTTAAAGAAAAAAACATATTAAATAAATCATTGAAATCCAATATCTGAGTTTTGTAAATCTATCAATAACTTGTACATAAATGTGGTGCTGTCACTAATATTTAATTTAGTGCACATTAGATACGGCGAAAAAGTTTTATGATCATTAAACTCTTTTACCTAGACTTAGTGCTACATGTATGCATACATGTGTAGATGGTTTTTTATCAATATTTTGTAATACATTGAATTGCCGCACAGGTGAATTCCGGAAATGAAAACAAAATTATGTCGGAAATGAAATTAAAAATGTCGGAAATGCTATGCATATATCCGGAAATGAAATGCAGCAATTTACATCAATTTGTTCACTTTTAATAAAAACTAATTTAATTTTTATTATCCAGAAAACAAAGGAAAGGCGGTCCATTCCATCCTCTATCCCTCTTAAGGCCACGGTTACTCAGGAAGACGCACCTGCTACATGTAAGGTGTTAAAAGAAGATATTAAGGCATGCATTAAAAATGGCAATACGCCCGTGTTAGTAGCCGATGAAAGCGAGGATAGCTGGCAGACGTTTCAGGAGCTACAAGACCAAAATATTTTTCTTATGGACTGTCATTTTCTAAAGGAAGAAACGGTAATGCAAAAACAAAAGAATTTGTAGCTAATTAAAGTTAAGATTTATTTATGATTTTGTAGTTTTGATTTGTTTGATTATTTTTTTTTTATCTTTGGGGTGGATGAGGTTGGGTAGGGTATGATTTTACATGTGCATGTGGTTTTTAAACTTACTGAATTAAGTTAATTCCGTTAGATTAATAACAAAGAAATAGCATTTAAAATTAAATAATTTCTGAAAAATATTACTGTAAGACATTGATGTTTAATCATGTAAGCTCATTTTATAGATAATTTTCAGATGAAGATGAACATTAGAATATCTACTCAACCAAAGGTTTTGTCAGAAAATGAAAACGTAAGTATTTTATCAAGCTTATCATTGTTTAATATTTATTATCCCACAGATTAGATACTATTTTAACAATCATGTCATTCAAATTTAATAAAATTCACAAAACAGCCTTAATGATGTACTCGACATTTTCCTTTTTGAATTATTTAATTATTCTTTTCCTTGTTTTTGTTTATTAAGCAAAGTATCAATAAGCTATACAAACGTTTGCAAGGTGGAATCGGAAAGAAAACAAAACTACAGAGGAAAGAATTCGAAAACTGGGGCCAAACGGTAACCGCGAGTGTGTTTTATTGTGAACCTACATCAAAAAGGGAAATTCAGAAGGTAATGCTTGCTGCGGCGAAGAACGGGGTTGGTGTGCGTGGTGTAGGTGCTAGTCACACGTGGGCTCCTGTCATCTGTGACGATAATCAGATTTTGATGAATTTTTCCAAGTTACAGAGTGATTACAGACATGGACACAAGATTAGAATAGCAAACGTAAGAATGCATTCTGACATGCTAGTAGTTAAAACTGAAGAAAATATTCGTTTGTCTTCTATGGCAAAAAATGATTATGTTATTATAAGAGTATTTTCAAATATTAAAGGAAATTTAAAAAAAATTCAACGAATATCTATACCAATAGATAAAAGGGCTTTTAGAATACAAATTATTGCAGTCCAACAATAATAAATCTTAATGCATTTCACAGAAGTCACGCGATGAAGTAGATGTTATGTCAGGAGTGAAAACATCAGAGCTTAAGGAATTTCAGCTGAGACATAAACTTAATCTTCCAATTAATGTGATGGCGGATCATTTTGATGTGGTGGGGGCGATTTCTGTTGGAGCACACGTAAGTCTCTCTCTCTCTCTCTCTCTCTCTCTCTCTCTCTCTCTCTCTCTCTCTCTCTCTCTCTCTCTCTCTCGTTGATAATATCCCTATAGAACTCGGTTTCATTTTCAATGCAGGGAGCTGGAATAAATGGGAAAAGCCTCAGCGATTACATAGTAAAGATGCGCGTTTTTGACAGCAGAGGCCAACTACGGACTTACAACATTAAGAACAGGGAAATGTTTAACGCTGTAAATGCCAGCTTCGGTTGCTTTGGTATCATTTACGACGTCACGTTTAAGGTACACTATAGATAAATAAATGTCCTGCTCAAAAATACTATTCGAGGAAATCAAATAACATGAAATGCTTTACAGATAAATTATGTTTATCAAATAACATAAAATGCTTTACATTCTACTCCAATCTGTATATTCAATCTAACAGTATATCGTAGTATTTTGATTTTATAGATGGAAAAAGAGACAGTTGTGAAGACACAAAATATGTATTGCAGTTTACGGGATGTATTTTATAATGCTGAAAAGATGAAGTCTTTAGTGGAAGAAAACTGGTCCACTCAGATTTTCTGGTTCCCCTACAACTCTGTCAGTCTACTTGACTACGAGCCTAAGGACGACGACTTATGGATACGGCTAATAAATAAAGCGCCATCTAACGTCAACTGTAAAGATTTTGGTTTCTATCTTTGCCAGAGGTCAAAAGACAAGATTTCGCAAAAAGCATTGGCTGCTGTGTCTCCATTACTTGCTGAAAACACAGAATTAACGCCATATTTATCCTGGGCTGCTTTCAAGTCATTAAAATACGTCCTCTACCCAAGTGGAGAAATGTATCAACAGCTTCCACATGCCATTCACTATAGGTTAGTGTAGTAGACACACACAAACATCAAGCAATTACTCAATGCTTTTCTCTTTATGAATTAAAAAAAAACGAAATCAAGGGTCTAAATAAGGTTTCCGAATTAATGTGTTAGTCGTCTGTCAACCAACGTCTGATTACTTTTTGAATAAATACATATTTATATCCCGACTCTAAGCTTAAATCATAGCCTAAATCTACCCCCAATTTATTAACATATTCAAATAAGTCAAATTGCCTTGAAATCACAATACAAATCCTTTACAAAAATATTTAAATAAGTCTAGATTCAAATATGATCAAATTGAAGACATGAGGATTTGTTCCATACAGAATGGGAGGAAAAAAGGATCCAGATTGGGAAATTAAAATTTTACATTGGAATATTTATAAAATATTGTTAATGTAAATTCCTTTGAGAGAAAAAGTTCAATTAAATATGACTTATGTGATTTATTTGCCCAAAGGATCGGATGTACAGTATTTATCATCATATATTTTTCATAGTGAATACGTATTATACAAATTCTTTTAATAAAACAAAAACAAAAAATTATTTCGAATAACCAATGCAATTTGTTTTATAAAGGATCAGTTGAAAATCAAATTTACCATTTCTACATAATATGAAAATGTATCTATGAGAAACAAATTAGAAAAAAAATATATAAGATACATATATCATTTTATAGTCACCAGCTGCTCTAAAGGAAATTAATATAAGGGAAGACAATTACTTTTTATTAACTTCCTAAATATTTAGTGTAACTATCATAAATTTAACTTCGGTTTAAAAGCATTTGTTTACACTCAATTTTCGTTCTAGAACACACATTGCTGACGCCCCTGTGCATGATATGGAGTTTATCTTTGATTACAAAGGGGATTATAACAAGGTCCTAGAAATCATTCAAGTTGTGGTGGAGAAAACAGATCATTATGACGAAAAAGAGGAATATCCATTCAACTTATGTCTTGAGATGCGTTTTATGGCATACAGGTAATTGTTAACTTAAAATTTTCTTTATTGAATTGACAAAAAAGTCTTATTGTATTTCACAATTAAAATTAAAATTTAAAATGTAAAATTTCAAAATTATTTTGATGAATGTTTAAGTGATACGTACCTGGGATGTGGAAATGTAGGCAATCCCGCCGATGGAGGTTCTGGCCATGTGTTCTGTATTGAAATCATTAGCGTTACTGGAACAAAAGGATGGGAGGAGTTCAGTATAGATGTAGGGAGGGAGTGGATGGCCTTCGGAGGGGTTCCTCACCTAGCAAAGGAGTGGGACTATATACCCGGCATCCATCAACACATCCAGGAGGTATACCTAAATTAGGAAATTACTGTATACTGTAGATGATTTTTAGTAAAATACACCCACCCCTTTTCCTTCTGTATTTTTTCAGCAATGCATTTAAGATGAATGAAACTTATGGATCTTTTTTTCTTTGTTATAATGAAGTTTTATAAACCGAGGTCGTGTGTCACAGTAGGTGCGGGTACAAAAAATATCCTTCAATGTTCAATGACCGTAAGTGCCTAGTATGGTACAAAATTTGCAGCCCTTCACCGGCAAATGGTGGTGTCTCACTATTAGTAAAAAAAATTCTTGAGAGAGACGTTTACAAACATACATGTACAATCAATCAACCAATCTGTAATCCGATATTTGACTGTAAGCTGTCAACATGCAGAGAAAATGTTTTAATCATTTTCTCTGAAACTTTTAGTACAGCATGGTGTGTTAATTTTATACCTTTAAAATTCTTCACTTTATGCATAATCATGCATACATGTACATATTCTAAGTACATTGTAAATACAGGATCTCATAACTATTGTCGAATTAGCATACTTAAAACGTCCAATTTGAACAGTCAATCAAAGGTCTGCCCACTTTCTTACACTGAAGTGAAATACTAGTAATGCATCATTAATGTTATCATTTTGCGATTTTAGTAAAGACTGCAGTTATATTTATCTGAAAATCGACATTGAGAAAACTTATCTGCTACAATATATGAGTTTTGAACAGCATCTGAATCTAAAATCAATCTTTGCATCAATAAGAAAAGTAAAACTTTAAGCAAAGAGGGATTTCGTTAAAATGCATTGATTAGAAATTCCTTTATAGTACGAGGTAGACACAGGAGTTTGAAATCATTTCATTTTCTCAAAACCACAAGGCATTGTCACAGCTTTTTTTTATTTTTAATATTGATGACATCATGTGAGAATTCACTAGAAATCTCTTCGCTAGCGAATCGCTAGCAAAGAGAGCGACGATGGCATTTGAAGTCAGATACAATGATTTCCTTTGAAAGCCCTTTGCTATCAGATATGGTTCAAGAGATTTACGATAAAACAAATGAAGTAGGTGTAGAAACATTCCTGCAAGATAGTTTCAAGAATATAGGTAGCTTATAAATATCAACTATTGTTATACCCTTATAAATATCATTCTATATATTTATTACTTATAAAAAGTCCAACAAAAGAACTGTTAATTACATCGGTCTAACAATTTCACTATTGACCGGTCTTACATAAGAATTGTTAGACCGCAACGTCACTCGTCTGTTACGTCACAATTAATCATCGTTCAATATCGCCGACGTGAAAATAGCCGAAGTTAAGAGCTACAAGAGTTGTTGCTAACAGCACGGTAATGAAGAAGGGAAAAGTATGTTTTGTGATAAATAATTTTTGTGATACAACAGATATATAATTGATTTTGTTCTTTCTCGGCTTGATGTTATATATTTACTTAAGAAGCCATAATTTTCCATATAAAATAATTGATAATATAGCGTGTATTGATTAAATTGATCAATCGTAAGTGAGCAGTGAAGGGTATAACAAAACAGTTATAGACTGGGATTCGGGCAACATATGATTTGTTGGACCTGAAGGTGAAAATGTTGCCCTTGGCCTGCGGCCTCGGGCAACATTTTCACCTTCAGGTCCAACAAATCATATGTTGCCCTCATACCCAGTCAATAACTGTATAATATCAACTGCTAAAATACAAAAAGTATTTTTTATTTAACTTTTTATTGAAAGAATTTAAAGAAATTATCTTTAGTTATGGTTTGTATTGATATATCTTTACTTTATTATTTGATAGAAATTTTAAATCTTATAATTTACATTTTAGAAAATGTGCTTGGAGTTAAAGACTTTTAAAGAACAACTAGAAACATCAAAAGCCGATCCCTGTGGCATGTTTCTCAACAAAGGCTTAAAGCAGTTATTGAATCTGTGAAAATATGTACACTTAATAACTGGTCAATTCTGTGATATGGATATCAAATATTTTGGAGAACAACAATCATAATGATTTTACTCGTAATTTAGAAAAGATTTCATGGTACAAAAGTAACATTACAAATTTTGTATGTTCATCTATATATAATGAAATAATTAATACCAGATGTAACAGGGAGAGGGGCATGGGGGACGTGGCCTCTAGTACATTTGCCAAAATTAAAATTGTTCTAGGAATGTCAACGAATATTTGATGACTCGCCTATCGCTTGCATTGGACTTACCAAGTTTTTACTGATGGTCTAGAAAACATTTGCCGTAGAATTCTCGATTCAAGTATAGAAATTGAAATATTTATTTCATATTGTCTTTTGGACGTAATACTTTTATCTTAGGCGAATATTGTGATTAAATTAGATTTTTAAGAGGAATATTTACATGCATACTCATTATATACTTGGAGAGAAAACAAGTTACTGACAAACAAGCTAATTCAGAGAATTTGTGTCCCCCGCTTAGGGAAAAAGTAAACCAGTTCGGGGGTCGGGGGGGGGGG